GTCCCTTTTCGTGCCAGACTAAGAGTTCTTTGTAGCAAAAGAGTCTGTGTACACAAATGATACCAAACCTGAAAATAGAGATCATTAGGGTTTCAATTGTTTATACAACATTACTAACTGACAAAGGTCCGTTGTTCCTTTCAAAGCAGCAATGCTCCATTAAGAGTCAGACTGACTCAAACAAGTGTCAGATAACAAAGTAGAAAAACTATTATGCAACAATGATATTGTAACATGAGGTTCCTAGGATACTGTAAATCTAAATAAAAAAGTCAATAAGCAAATCCAAGTTAAATATTGCATAATTTAAAAATAAACTATCACACTCCTGAAATAATTTATTTTATGGTGTGTTAACAGAAAGGTTATTCAGAAGTACCGATAGTAGATATCTAATTATTGCCTCTTAACGGGAGTGGGGGATTCTATACAAAGCATATATCTGCTCTTTCAAGGTTACTCCAAGCATCATAACCATTACAGCCCTCTGTATTGGTTATTAGACTCAGAAATTTGGTTTGTAACAAACTGCAAATTGTCTACATTTGAGTCAATAAGACAATTGTATGAATTTCCGATCTTTAAGCTGAAATGCAGACGAATCACAACCCAACTAAAGTGTACAATGGCCGAGCATGTTTATTTTGATTTGTGATTCTGAATTCCAGTTGTAGCGCCAAAATAAGAGATGGCTAAGAGACATTTACTAAATGTTGATTTTATTCACATATCAAGTGAGAAGTGACCAATGAGGGGAAAGAAGTAGGTTATTGGCTACTTTTTTTCACTTGATTTATGCACCAATTGATGGTAAAATGCACTTTATCATTGTACTGTATAATGTATACATAATATTTATATCATGTATATATTTTGCAATACACTGATTGGCCCATTTTCACAACTGTTTTGTTCACATGATTCGGTTTCCCAAAATTCGGGAAAAACTGGAATGCGGAACCCAAGAACAGTACTACATCAAAAGATAACATTATCTTTTGAGGCAAGAATTGAGCTACAGGTTATGGGGGAGGGGAGGAACATGTCTAACTTTGTGTGTTGTGTATGTGTTGTGTATGTGTTGTGTATGTGTACTCAGTGTAATTTTAAAAGTAGGATACATTTTTTACATTTAAAGGTAATAAAGTTTTTACATTTAAGGTGCTTTGAGTGAATTAAGCCTCTATTTCTTAATTTTTAAAGATATAATATCTAATCCTAGATGGGAATGCCAGCGAAAGAAGAAGGTAGTGGTGAGTATAATTCAGAGGTAATAGTAGCAATATAATTCCACTCTCTACTGAGGGTTCAGCAAGCTAGAACAATTTTAGTAAATGTCACATTCACCATATCAAAAAAAACTAAAACAAAAGGGACACTGTAGGCACCCAGACTACTTCAGCTCATTAACAGCAGTGTCACTGTCACTGGGAGTTTACCGGACTCTGGGTCGTCTAACTGATGCCATAGATCCTCAAGCTCTGCATTGTGGGTCGCATGCCGTCCGCGGGTATGTGAGCAGACCAGTGTCAGACGAAAACACTGGGCATGTCTAGACTCAAATAGTTCCTTTTGATCTCTCGAAATGACAGAAACCAGCATACATTCATGTCTCACATGGTGCAGAACTGTTTACTAATGTAAAAAATATTGGACTTTCATGGGGCCAGTATGGAACCTTGTAATGGAGCTCCCTGTACCCTGGCTGAGTACCTCCGCCGACAGATGCTCCTAGTGCTTCTCAAGGACCATCAGCACTGCACCAGACACCATAAGCACCACAGACTCCATGAACAGCCATAGCTTGGTTGGGGTCTTGCCGTCTCCTTCCCACCCCGGTCCAACCTCTGGATCTAGGACCGTGTGGGAAGGACCTCTCCTCAAGGAGAGTATAGCTGTGGGGAGGACCTCTCCTCCAGGAAAGTGTAGCTGTATAGCTGAAGAGAGCTCTTACAAGAGCTAGCAGTGATATAGCAGTTATAGCTGTTCCCTACAACACAAGACGAGGCTGCGAGTTGAGGGTAAGAAGGTCTGGTTTATTGAGTGCAAGGGCATTTCTTTTATACATATTTTCAGGTCAGAGGCACACCCCCTGGACCTGATGGTAAACTGGGACAAAAGGGACACAAACCAATAGGAACAATAATTAGTACAGTAACACTCCCACATACAGTCAGCAATCCCTCCCCTCTGCCTGTGATATAATTAAGCTAGTTAATGGAATAAACTAATTATCCACAGGCAGAAAATATCAATTTTTACCCAAAGTCCAGAAACACCCCAAAACACTACCATATCCCCATAAATTATACATCCCTGAATAGCTCTGATCTGGGCGAACAACATATCCAAAAATCACCCAGATCACAGCAGGGGTTCAAAAGTTTTCATGGAAGTCACATTTGACCAACCGCAAGCATGGCTTTCATGCCCAAAATAGTTCCACAGATTTTGGCTGTGCAGCCGGTCTATCTTCTCATTCACATAATGTCTGAATTGCACGAACGGATCCATTCGTGCATTACTCCATTAGATGCGCCTTGTTCAGTGGATTGTTCTCAAGAATTAGAACTCTGTTCGTGTGTATTTAGCCGAATACACGGAAGGTGGAAGTCTCAGCGGTGTTCGTGCCTTTGAGTGTCCGATTTTAGTTCAAGGTGTTCGACGGCAAAAAACAGCTGAGTGCGTCCGGCTAAACAAAATGGTCGCCACCACGTGTTCGTTCATACGAATGCCGACCACCCAGCCTTTCGTCAATTAGGCTTTGGTTAACAGCAGCTTCTGGGTTACCAGAGGCCCAAATAGCATAAGGTACACATTCTGTTGCAGCTGTGCTATATTTCCCACAGTGAGACAATGTTATTACTCCCTAGTAATGCACGTTTTTACCAAAAGAAAGTCCTATAATTGGCAAGGACATACAGCCTTATCTTCATTAATTATAGAAATCCACTTATGGAAGTATCTTGGATGTTGTCTCTGAAGCACTTTTAATTTGTAGCCGTGTTCTAGTGAAATCAGTTATTTTTTTTTTTTTGACAATCTTTATTTTCAAATTTTATCATGTTTTCAAGGAAACAAGTAGTAACTGTATAACGTCAATTATAACATCAGTGTTCTGAATAGCTTAACAACATTCGTCACCATTGTTTTAACATTCTCAAAACAGTTTTCTCAGACAATATTTCTATAGTTTCCATCACATGCTTTAGATAGGATTATTTAAGGTCAAGTTTCTAGACTCGCATCCCCACTAGCTTACAATGCGCAGTTTATTGCACCTATGGTGTGCGCTTTACGTGTAGGGTATGAATCGGTGTCTAGTCTGGGTGCTGTGGGGGGTATGTTTTCTGACATGCTACATTTCTCATTTCACGTTTCATACCAATAGTGTCAGGAGCCTTTTTGTCGCTTGACATGTATATATATATATTATTGGGCATGGTATAGGGTCACGCTAGCGAGAAAGGATATTTTTAGTGCCTTAACTCCTCCCCAGACTACTCAGCATTTATTAACATTCAAGGCCATCTTGTCGCCTGGTTGAGAGCAAAGTGTGATGGTTTTGGTTAAATTCCCCACTATTGTGGGTTGGCAGTTGCTAGTGCATATTTTTGTATGCCTATCGGTCATATGGGAAGATACTCTGGGTATCAGTCTAGGAGGCCAGGAGGGGATATTTTCATGCCGGTATCAGCTCTAGGTTGGGTCTCGGTTTCTTGTGTGTTTTACACCTGTGATTACAGTGGGTGTGCGTATTGATAAGCCCCTTTTACGAGCTAGTCAGAGTCGGTCGTTGGGGTTCTGTCTAATGTCCAGTCTCGGGAAGGGGTCAGGAGGTAGGGGACCTTGGAGGGAGGGGTAGCCGGGTGGCTTAGCTCTGTATGAGTCAGTCAACTGCGGGCCTCTGGGGGGCCGTGTTTGGGTTTGCTAATCTGTTGGCTAGGTATGTTTCCCAAGGGTACCAGGTCAGTGCACATTGCTCCTGTCTACCGTGTAGGTCTGCAGTTAAGGACTCCATTGAGTGGATTTCTTCCACCTTTGTCACCCATTGCTGGAGGGTAGGCGCCCCCCTCTGTTTCCACATCACTGGGATAAGGGCCTTTGCCGCGTTGAGTAGTGGCAGCAAGAGGGATTTCTTATATGTCTTAACGGGTGTGGGGGTGTGGTGTAATAGCATCGTTAGGGGTTCTAGGGTTAGCTCCGCACCTGTGATTTTGTTTATCTCTACCCTGATCCTCTCCCAGAATGTGGTGATCTCGGGGCACTGCCACCAGATGTGGAAGTATGTGCCGGTATGCAAGCCGCATCTCCAGCAGGTGTCCGGGGCACCTACGTTCATGCGATTGAGTGCGTCAGGGGTTCTGTACCAGCGTGTTAAAATTTTGTAGTTCAGCTCCTGGTACTTGGAGCTGATAGAGCATTTGTGTGTGAGAGTGTAAATCTTGTCCCAGTCTTGCTCAGTAAGGACTTCCCCTGAGTCTCTCTCCCAATGATCTTTAAATTTGAGCACCACATCTTCGTTAGTTTGGGTCTTGAGTATGGTATGTATAGTGGAGATACCTCTGTGTACGTGTGTTCGGTGTACGCACAGGTGTTCAAAGCTGGTGAGGGGTCTAGTCAGGTGTCCTCGACCATGTAAGGACATGAAGTAAGTCTTAACTTGGTGGTATCTGAATTGTTCGAGTATCGTCGGTGGTCTATCTGGGCAGAGGTTTCTGAGTGGTTTAAGTCCCTGAGTGTCGAGCCATTGGTGCAGGTACATCCAGTCTGCCTGCTGGAGGCCGGCTAGGTCTTGTGGGGTTAGAGCATCGGCCAGGTCTGGGTTATGTGTGATGGGTGTCAAGGGGCTAGGAGAACTTGTGAGTTGCAGTCGGTAGCGTATAGCTATCCACACTCGGAGCGTTGCGTCAATTAGTGGGTTCTCGGTGTGCAGGTCAGTGTATGTGGCTGTATGTAGCCAAAGCCTAGAGGGTATTTTTCTATCGGTTTGTTCTAGCTCAATGGTCACCCATTGTTTTGATGGGTGTTGTGCGTGCCAGTCCGTCAGTCTGTGCAGGTGAGCGGCGCGGTAATATGTCTCTATGGAGGGCAGTCCCGTGCCCCCCATCAGTTTTGGTAGTTCCAGGGTTGATTTTTTTATTCGGGTTGGGCGAGAGTTCCAGACGAACCTGCGAATGGCAGTCGTCATAGAGCTAAAAAAGGCTCTGGGGAGAGTAATTGGCACTGTTTGGAGTAGGTAGAGTATCCTGGGTAGCACGTTCATTTTAATCGCATTGATACGTCCGAACCAGGAGATGTAATATGGGGTCCATTTCTTAAGGTCCGTCTGAAGTGAGAGTAGGAGGGGGAGATAGTTATGGCGGTATAATTGGGACGGGTCTTTGGTCAGCCATATGCCCAAATATTTTAATTTAGTTTCGCACCATTTAAACTTGTATTGGGTGTGAAGGTGTGTTGGGGGGCCTGTAGGGGGTGGGAGGTGGAGAGCCTCGGACTTATCCGTATTAAGTTTAAGATTAGAGAGTGCCCCAAACTCTCGGAAAGATGCTAGGAGGTTGGGCAGCGAGATCAACGGCTGTGTAAGAAAGAACAGCATGTCGTCTGCATATGCGGCTACCCGGTATTCGTGGCGACCAAGGTCAAATCCAGAGATTCCCCCATTCCGTCTGACCGCCCCCAGGAATGGTTCCAGGGAGAGGGCAAACAGGAGGGGGGAGAGCGGGCATCCCTGGCGGGTGCCATTCCTGATAGGGAAAGGGGCTGAAAGTGCCCCGTTAATGCGGATCCTCGCAGTGGGGCACGTGTACAGTGAGAGCACCCAGGCCAGCATGTTGGGGCCGAATCCCATGTGTGTAAGGGTACTCCTCAGATACGCCCAGCTCACCCTGTCAAAAGCCTTTTCGGCATCGGTGGAAAGTAGTAGTAGTTCTCTACGGCGCGCTCGTGCTATGTGTAGGATGTTCAAGGCCTTAATCGTGTTGTCTCTCCCTTCCCTACCCGGGATAAACCCCACTTGATCCGAATGTACCAAGTGGGGGAGGTGTTTTGCGACTCTCAGGGCAATGGCTTTTGCGAATAGTTTCAGGTCCGCGTTTAGTAGCGATATGGGGCGGTAGCTCGCGCAATTCGTCGGGTCCTTGCCCTCTTTTGGTATTACAGTAACTATGGCTGCTAACGTGTCTGGGGGAAAACGCCCCCCCTCCAGTATGGAGTTGAGGCCCAGTAAGAGATTTGGTAATAGGATGTCCCTGAACGTACGTAAGTACATCAGGGGCAGTCCGTCAGGTCCAGGGGCCTTATGGGTTTTGGAGATTTTTAGGGCTGCCGCCAGCTCCTCCATGGTGAGGGGTTGGTCTAGGTCGTCCCGCATTTCCGCGGTCAGCTTGTTATCTATATTTTGTTCCAGGAATTCAGTAATTTGGCGGGTCTGTCGTGTGCGGGCAGCGTCAGTGTTAGGTTGGGGGATATTGTATAGGTCCGTGTAGTAGTCTACGAACGCACGCTGAATTCCATCCGGCATTCGGGTTTCAGCTTTGTCACTGGGCTTAATTTTGTGTATGTGGCTCGCCATCCGACGGTCACGGAGCTGGCGGGCTAGCAGTCTGCCACTTTTGTCCGAGTGCTCAAAAAAGAACCGGGCCGATTTTCTAAGGGTGCGTAGGAGACCCTGAGCTAATATGTCCCTTCTCTGTCTCCGGAGCGCTGTTAGATGGAGGAACGTGTCTTCGTCCTGACTTTGTTTATGAGCTTGCTCTAGGTTGGCTATTTGAGTGTTTAATGTTATCAGCTTTCGTGCATGTTCTTTCTTCCGTTGTGTACAGACCTTAATATAGTGTCCCCGTACTACACACTTATGTGCTTCCCATACCGTCAAGGGCGAGACATCGGGGGTTGTGTTAGTGTCGAAGTATTGTGTTAGAGTTTGCCTAACCGGGTCAGTGTCACCCAGGTTAAGCAGCATATTCTCATTTAGCTTCCAGTGCCTTTCCGCTGGTTTGTGTAGTGGGGATTGGATCTGGGCTGAGACCGGGGCATGATCGGACTCCGCAATCAGGCCTATGCTAGCCTTGCGGAGTAGTGTCAGGGCTTCCTGTGCCATAAAGATATAGTCAATCCGACTGTATCTCTGGTGTACAGCTGAGAAATAGGAATAGTCCCTGCCATCAGGATGCGCCGCCCTCCAGCAATCCACTAGTCCACTCCTTGTCAGAGCTCTCCCGACTGCGCGTATGCAATGACCTGGTATTGAGCTTTCTCCCCTTGAGGTGTCTAATCTGGCATCTAACGGAGTGTTAAGATCTCCTGCCATAATTAGTAAGCCCTCTCTGAACTTGTTGAGCAAAGTGAGTGTTTTATTTAGGAAGACATGTTGGTTACGGTTCGGTGTATAGAGGCATGCGAATGTGTAGGGCTGTTGTGCTATGGTTCCTTTAATGAATAAGTATCTACCGCCTGGATCTATTCGTTGCTCTGTGCATACGAACGGGACCGTATATGAAAAGAGGATCGCCACCCCCGCTTTTTTTTGGTCGGTATGGTTGGAGTAATAACCTGTGGGGAACCTTCTGTTTTTCAGGGTGGGTGCCTCTACTCCTTTAAGATGCGTTTCCTGCAAAAACGCCACCGAGATGCGTTCCGCCCAAAGAGTACTGAGTAGCTGAGACCGCTTCTCGGGTACGTTTAGACCTCTAACGTTGTTCGACCACAGGTTAAGCGGTGCCGGCACATAGTTAGTGCCCATCCCTAGCTGTGCGTGGGAAGGGGTATGGGTGAGTCAGAGTATCGCGGGGTAAGGTTCGGGGGGGGGAAGTAGGGTAGTCCAGTCAAAGTCAGGGCAGGTTAGTGGGTCGGGATCTAGGTGACTACGACTCGCCTCGGGGTCAGTCGCTTCCCAGTGTCTATTCCCTTCGGGGTATGTCACCAGAGTAGCCCCCGAGGGTTTGTACAGTGTGAGTCTGTCACGTGAGGTACGTGGGTCGTCCGTTCTTGGGTGAACCGTCGCCTGGATCGCACTGCTCTCACGGCACCCAGCCCACTGTATTTGTTTAATTGGAATTTTCCCTGTGGGTATGGTGAAGTAGTACGAGGGTACCCCCTCCCATTATCCCTTTTCCTCTCTGTTCTTGAGGGTCTGAGTGTTGCGTGTCTAGTCGGTAATCGGGCCCTGTAATTACCTAACGGGTCCGGCCTCCCAGGGTGTACCCGCCCCAGCCTAGCCCCTTTGGCTTCGTGGGTACAGGCGTGTTACCCGCCCCCTTGTGTAGGTGTGTGCCCCCCTAGGAGTGGTATAATGCATGTGAACTTAATCAATAACAATAACAATAACAAGTACAACTGTAAAGACCAGACCACCGCCTCTGGCGTTCCCCGCTCCCCCCTCCCAAGGAACCATACCCCCCTCCTCTGCTCCCTATTCCAGCTGGGGGAAGTGGAGTCTTCTCCTGCCTGTTGGCTTGCTAGTCCCTTCTGGGGATGGGCGGAGCTTGGGTCTCGGGGCCCTCTGGGTCATCATGGGACTGTCCAGTTTTTATCCTGTGGTGCCATTCAAGTAGTTGGAGTCCGCCAATGCCTCCCCTCTACCCCAACCACCCAAAAAGGGGGGGATTCTATGGGCCAGAGCCCGAGTCTGTACAAATTTGGGGGGGGATCCCCTCCGTGTCATCATCGTCTCCGGGTGGTACCCGATCCCCATAAATCCCACCACCCCAAGAAATATGTGGCCCTCCATAGTCTCAAGTCCCTGCCACACTGACTTGTGCGTAACTGCTACGGGCCCAGGGTAGGGGTGTAAGTACATACCCAGCGTTGTGTCAGCTTCTGCTTACGGAGGTTGTTTCTTCGCATCAACCTTGGGGGAGCGGTCCGGTGGTCCGTTTCACTGCGGCGTGGTTTCTGGGGTTGAATGGGGGTGTGAAAACTGGGGTATTCCTCCGTCGGTGGGTGCACCGGTCGCTGCCCCCTAGGGCTCTTGAATCTGCTATTCTTCATGGCTATCCGGGCCACCTCTGCGGAACCCGGTTCCTGTAAGGCCCGTACCCGGCCTGATATTTGGAGCGTTTGGGCGTTGCGGCTGTCTCTCCAGGACCCAATTTGGGACTGCCACCGCTGGGAGGTTCGCGGCTCGGAGGAAGCGTGGCACGTCAGCTGGCCAGCGTATGATATGCCATATGTTGCTCACCTTTGCCTGTAAGCTAAAGGGGAATCCCCATTTGTATTGTATCCGCCGTTCTCTAAGGAGGGTGGTTAGCGGTCTCAGTGCCCTTCTCGCTTCCAGGGTGAGTACTGAGAGATCCTGATATAGGGAAATCTGGGCGTCCATGTAGGTGAGGTTCTGTTGGTTTCTCGCTTCCCTCATGATCTCGTCCTTTAACGAGTAGGAGAGCAGGTAGCAGATTACGTCTCTAGGTGGTCCCTCCGCGGACACGGGGCGCAGGGCTCTGTGTGCACGTTCTATTCCAAAGTCTGCAGGGGCCCTGTCCCCTAGTATGTGTGTGAACAGACCCAGCAGGAGCTCTGGTAGTGCTTCCCCTGCTGTTTCAGGGAGTCCCCTGACGCGGATGTTGTTCCTCCGTCCGCGGTTGTCCAAATCTTCCAGATTCCTTCTTAACTCCAGCAGGACATTGCCTTGTCTAGTAGTGGCTGTGTCTGTGGCTTGGCGGTGTTGTATTATTTGGGCACGTTCTGCCTCTAGTTCCTCTACCCTGCGTTCCAGTGCTGTCAGGTCTCTCCTCACCTCCATGACCTCCTCTCTGATTACTGCCCTAATTTCAGCCAGCAGGTCAGTCTTATCTGCCTTGGACATCATGTTTGCAGATATTGTGGCCAGGTCTGCTGCAATTTGGGTCAGTGACTCCTCTCTGGCTGGGCCTGTTGCTGGGCTGTCTGAGCTGCTGGCGTCTGGTGAGGGAGGCGCCATTTTGGCCGCGGCCTGGTGCGCCCGCATGTCTCGCGGCGTTCCGAGGTACCCGTCCATGGGGCCCGCTGTGCGGCTCGGTGAGCCCGTTTGTGAGGGGCCAGGGGTGAGTAGCCTCTTTGTCTTACCCATCTCGGGTCTATTCGTGCTCGTTTATCGGTGCGGTAGTGAGCTGGGGCCTAGGAGCTGCAGGGAGATGCGTCTCACTCCATTCCCGGTCAGGCCACGCCCGAAATCAGTTATTTGCGTTAAATT